TGCTGGCATCAAATTCAAAGTGGGCATATATTTTTCAAAAACCAATAAAACTTGTCAGTTTCAACATTTGATATTTTGTCTTCAAAGCATTTTCAATGACATCATTGCATTTTGTTTTTATTTACATTTTTCACAGCGTCCCAACTTTTTTGGAAATGGGGTTGTATATTATATTGTTTATCAGATAGAATAGCCCTTAAGTAGCCCTTATTTTTTTGTAGGTGCTGATAGCTTTAAAAAAAAGCTTTAGCTTTTTTATAGATTCCATGTAATTTGAATGTAACTTTGAAAATGTTTTGGAGGAACATGGGTCAGAGAAAACTTGCTCATAGGCTGGATATATGCTTATATGCCTCACCACAAGCATTTTAATGCATGAATGTCCTGACAGTTGTGCAAATGACAAATACACTTGAAACTTGATTGGGACTGTGGGCTGCTATGTGGTGATCCCGTGTCTAGAGTGTTTGGTTATTCCTTCCTGAATTGCTAACATAAAACAATGAATGTGCATCACATGATGATGTCAACTACCATGGCCCTATCTGGACTAAGCAGTTAAAGATGATGATGATGTCAACAATAGCAGTCCTAGGAGGGTATAAAACACTTGCTGTCAGAGTCATCCATCAGCCAGAGGAAAATACACTAGACCTTCCCTCAACAAGAAAAGCTGATGCTACCTAAAAAAACAAAAGGAATCTTCTGTTCTTAGAATGGCTTGAGCGTGTTCATTTAAGGTGTGAACTAGACTAGAGAGGTATTGACAAAGATTATTCAGCAAGATGTATTTTCATGTCAATATAGAAATACTTGTTTAGATACATTTCTCCAGTGCAGTAAAGTTTTTAGTTAAATAAAGAAATGCATTATGTTTTCAATATTTGATTTTAAAATCTACTTTATGAAGTCTTGATGAAGTTGAATGTGTATATTTTATTTGCATATCCATGTTTATATGTGACTTTAGTGAAATAATGTTTTCTTCTATGCACCAGGCCACACCAGCTCTTTCCCTCCATCTGATCATCATGTCTGAAGGAAACATCACTTCTGTGAAGAATTTTTTTATTGTAGGCTTTCCTGGGCTTCACTCTAACTACTATGGCCTTGCATCTGCAGTCATGTTGTTTGTCTACGTGGGTATTTTGTTGGGAAATGGAATATTTCTTACATTGTTTGTACGAGAAAAAAGACTCCAAAAACCTATGTATTATATCATCATAAATCTTGTTGCATGTGATGTCCTGTTTAGCACCACCACATTACCCAAGATTATTGCTAGATATTGGTTCAATGATGGAGTCATCTCATTCATTGGTTGCTTTATACAGATGTATTTTGTGCACTATTTTGCTTCAGTTAATGCTTTTATACTGGCAGTAATGGCCTTTGATAGATATGTGGCAATATGCAATCCTCTCAGATATGCTAATATTGTCAAAAACTCCACTATCATGATCTTGTGCTTTGCATCGTGGCTGATGGCACAGCCCTGTGTTTTCATGATGGCAATCAGAGCATATCCTCTTCCTTACTGTGCTGCCAACACAATTGTCCAGTGTTACTGTGATCATGTGGCCATCACAAAGCTTGCATGCACTGACCGGACACCTTATGGGTTTCCAGCTTTTGTTTTCGCTATGGTTGTGTTACTCGTACCTCTGGCTTTTATTTTGTTTTCCTATTCCTCTATCGTGATGGCAGTCTTTCGAATCTCGACCACTCAAGGACGACTGAAGACTCTCTCCACCTGCAGTTCTCAGCTCATCATAATTGCTCTCTTCTTTTTACCCAGGTGTTTTAATTATACGGCCCCTTATATTGGTATCAACTTCAGTGCTGACATGCAAATACTTACTATTATGTTGTACAGCCTGCTGCCACCCATGATCAATCCACTCATCTACTGCTTAAGAACTAAAGAAGTGAAAGAAATCCTAGCTAAGAGTTTAGCCAGATCAACATTTCTTCAGGTTATGAAAAAAAGGGATGGATGTGTCAGCTATATGCACCTGATTTTTAGGGATATTACAAGGGCATTTCACTGAATTACGTAGACCTATGCTTTTTGTTTCTTTTTTCAGAGGGGCAGAGTGGGGAATGGGACTTAATTAAATTCTGTGAAGAACAGCATACGATGTTCTACAGTGTTAATACATTTATGATTGTATAGCTTTGTAGTTAGCTCTGCCAAAGCATTGTTCATTTGTGCACTTTAATGGAGGAACGTTTTTTTTATCATTTGAAAAAAAGTCTAAGTATAGCTTGAGCAAAGTGTACATTTTGTAATTTGTTTTATTATAATTATTGTAATTTTGCCATTATCTTTGTGTTTTAGTCATATTTTCTGATCTTTGCTGAAAGCAAAATGTTCCTATTTGTTCCTCTATGTTGTTATTAAACCTGATACTAATAACAGGCAATTCCTAATTATGATGTTGTATAGCCTGCTGCCACCCATAATCAATTCACTTATCATCTGCTTAATAACAAAAGAAGTAGAAGAAATCATAAACGAGAGTTTAGCCATATCAGCATTTCTTCAGTTTGTAAGTTAAAAGGTGCATATGCTTGCTACACTTGCCAGATTTATGTGGACATTAAGGGGGGCAAGGGACCCCTTAATTCCAGGCTATCATTTTTTTGCATTATTTGAAAGCAGAATATGCCTCATGTGCAGTTATCAATGAGTGCATTTCTACGCTCTACACATTATATGACTTGTTAAATCATTTGAAAAGGGGTCATTTACACCAATTAGAAGCCACTCGAGGTATTGTTTTTTCCATGAAGTCAAAGGCAAGTTAAAAGTCAAAGCTATATTGTACACAAAGTGCAATGGAATTGTTACTTCAACAGCATAACACAGTGGCAGTCTAATCCAATAAGTAATGACTGCTAACAGAATTAAACAGAAAACTGAACAACATTATCTAAACATATCCAGTTAATACCAGTGGTGACCATGACTATTAGAACAAGACCTTCATTTTGGGCCATCAATGTCAAAACCTTGTCAAAAACAAGGTAAAAAACACCACTCTGATACAATTGATTTCAGCACTTATAAGAGACTAGAATTTTTTGTTTTTTTGGAAATCACTGTCAGTTCCTAATTATGTTAGTGGTTAATCTGACATGTTAGACCTTAGTTGAGCTTGGGAAGCGCTATTCAAAGGGAGAGCTCATATGGCTGTATCTAACTACATACCATATAGACGTACTACAGTATTTGCAGAGTTTAAAGAAAACAAACAGGATGATTAGATTTTATAAAAAATAAACTAAACATTCGACAAATATTTTTTTTTCCTAAAAATATTAGGCCCATTCCTTAGTACATGGTAACCAATATCCATAATAAAAGAAGTTCGACATGGACAAGTCAAAATTTTATATGTCTCACTTTTTATAAATTCTTGTTCATTTGGGATTATTATTATTATTTTGGATATGTGTTTTGCATATATTTTGTCCTGGTTTTAGTCCATTAGCTCACAGTTTGCTTAAATTAGCCAAAATCATGGATTGGGCACAGTCTGTGGTATAGAGCTATAATTCTAGAACTTTAATCCAGTTGCTGGTCCTTAATTTTGTAAAAACTTGAAGTTAACTCAGTTGTTCATGTAACTGATTAGCCATATAGTGTCATATCTACCAGTAAAGACATAAACCAAGACCAGAGTTTTGAGTTTGTGATTTGAAAATCTCCGGTCTATAGCCATCATAAACACTAGTAATGAACTAAATCAAAGAGAATTTTGGCCAGTAAACAAGATGTACAGCATGGCTCCTTTTGCATATAGCAGGGTTTATCATAGATTTGACCTGGGGCCAAATTTTCAAAGAGCAGATATGCTTTGAGCTAGACTCCTGCCAAACCTAACACCCTTCCTCTCACAGAAACTTGAACCACATCTCCTACAAATGTCAAATGTCTGTGTTAAAGCTAGAGCTCCCATAAGTAGTACTGAACCCAGTAGGGAACAGTGAATATACATCACCGTTAGCACCAACATTAATATAACATTGCAAACCTCATAGAGGATGCTAGAAGAAATTAGGCTTATTATTGCGATGGTCACAATGAGGAAAACTGATACTGAGAATTATTTAATGAAAAATAGATTGAAAATATGTCTTTGTTACGCTATCATTGTTTGTAGTCACTGTCATAAAAGAAAACTGTGGCTAATAAACACAGCTTATCTTATTATATTATATTATATTATATTATTTTACATTATATTATATTGTTTATCAGGTAGTGCTAGAATAGCCTATAAATGTGCTTACATATTTCAGTCAGTGCTGGCAGAAGAACAGCTTCACCCTTTTTCCACATAATTTTAGTGTTTTGGAGGATGAGTTGGGCACCAGAGAAAACTTGCTCATAGGCCGGATTCATCCCATGGGCCGCTAGGTGCTGATCCTGGGTTTGGAATTTCCTGCCATTCCTCCCTGAATTACTAACATTAAAAAAAAGAATGTGCATCACATGATGATGTCAGCAAGGCAGTCCTAGAAAGTTATAAATAAAAATTTAGATTTGCTGTCAGAGTCATTCATCAGCCAGAGGAAAATACACTAGAACGTCCCTCAATAAGAAAGGTTGATGCTACCCAATAAACAAAAGGAATCCTCTGTTCTTAAAATGGTTTGAGTTGAAGCATGTACAGTTAAGGATTTAATCAGACTGAAGAGGTAAAACTTGCTTCACTGACAAAGTGATTATTCAGCAATATGTATTTTCACGTCAATATAGAAATACTTGTTCTGATACGTTTCAAGCAGAAGATATTTTAATAATAAAGAACTGCATTTTTTCTCATGTTTTCAATATTTGATTTTAAAATCTAATTTGAGTCTTCAAAGTTGAATGTTGTGTTTCAGAAAGTGCATTTTATTTAAAGCCCTATGTAGAGGTAAACTTTACTAAAATAATGTTTTCTTCTATGCATCAGGCCACACCAACTCTTTCCCTCCATCTTATCATCATGCCTGAAGGAAACATCACTTCTGTGAAGAATTTTTTCATTGTAGGCTTTCCTGGGCTTCACCCTAAGTACTATGGCCTTGCATCTGCAATTATGCTGGTAGTCTATGTGTGTATCTTGCTGGGAAATGGAATATTTCTTACATTGTTTGTAAGAGATAGAAGGCTTCGAAAACCTATGTATTATATCATCATAAATCTTGTTGCATGTGATGTCCTGTTTAGCACCACCACATTACCTAAGATTATTGCTAGATATTGGTTCAATGATGGAGTCATCTCATTCCTAGGTTGTTTCACTCAGATGTATTTTGTGCACTATTTTGGTTTTGCTAATGCTTTTATACTGGCAGTAATGGCCTTTGATAGATATGTGGCAATATGCAATCCTCTCAGATATGCTAATATTGTCAACGACTCCACTATCATGATCTTGTGCTTTGCATCTTGGCTGATGGCAGAGCCCTGTGTCTTAATGATGGCAATCAGAGCATATCCTCTTCCTTACTGTGCTGCCAACACAATTGTCCAATGCTACTGTGACCACGCGGCCATCACAAAGCTTGCATGCACTGACCGGACACCTTATGGGTTTCCTGCTCTTATTTTCACTATGGTTTTGTTGCTCGTACCTCTGGCCTTTATTTTTTTTTCCTATTCCTCTATTATGATGGCAGTCTTTCGAATCTCGACCACTCAAGGACGACTGAAGACTCTCTCTACTTGCAGTTCTCAGCTCATCATAATCGCTCTCTTCTTTTTACCCAGGTGTTTTAATCATATGGCCCCTTATGTTGGTATCAGCTTCAGTGCTGACACACAAATACTCATTATTATGTTGTACAGCCTGCTGCCACCCATGGTCAATCCACTCATCTACTGCTTAAGAACTAAAGAAGTGAAAGAAATCTTAGCTAAGAGTTTAACCAGATCAACATTTCTTCAGTTTATGAAAAATAGGGTGATTTCTATGAATATTACAAGGGCATTTCACTGAAGAAGGTAAACATATGCTTTTCTTTATTAGAGGGGTGGAGTGGACAGACTGGGGCATGGGTACTTTTACACTGGCTTTGAGCGATTAACTTTTTTCATCACTCAATAAAGGTCATCATCTTTGTGTTTAAGTCATATTTTCTGATCTTTGCTGGAAGGAAAATGCTCCTATTTGTTGTCATATATTGGTTTTAGACCTGATAACCGTAACAGGCAGGTTCTCATTATAATGTCGTATAGCCTGCTGCCTCCCTTAAACTGCTCACTCATCATCTGCTTAAAAACAAAAGAAGTGAAAGAAATCTTAATTAAGAGTTTAGCCAGATCAGCATTTCTTTAGTTTGTAAATTAAAAAGTGTATATTTTTGCTATAGTTGTAAGCTTTCTCTAAACATTAACGGGGGCAAAGGACATACTTTTCACTTTTTCATCCCTCAGTTCCAGACTAACATCTTTTTGCATTCTTTGGAAGAGAAATCATGTACAATAATCAGTGACAGTGCATTTCTACACTCTACATGACATATTACTTGTGAAAGCTAGCAAAAGGGATGTTTACACCAACTGAAAGCCACTCTAGTTAAAGCTCGTTGTTATCAAGTACAGAAAGTGCAATGCAATTCTTACTTCAACAAAATAACACAGTGACAATACAATAAGTAATGACTACTAAACAGAATTAAACACAAAACTGAACAACATTACATACAGTTAATACCAGTGATGAACCATGACTATTAGAGTAAGGCCTTCATTTTGGGCCAGAATTGTCAAAACCCTGTCAACATAAGGTAAAAAAATATATGATAATGCTCATTTTTGCACCTACAAAAGTCTTCCAGAAGCCCTAGAATGGCCTTTTTTTTGGAAATCACTCTCTCTTCTTAATTAGATTAGTGGTTAATCTGACACGTTAGTTGGAATAATTAATTTAGCTCCTTAAGTCTTAACCAAATAAAAAGCTTATATGGCTGTATTTAACCTCACACCACATAGAAATACTACAATATTTGTAGAGTTTAAATACCCCACAGGGACAATAGTATTGGGACACGTACAAATTACACCTGCAGGAGCTTTTATGACATCCCATTCCAAATCCATAGACATTAATATGGAGTCGGTCCCCTCCTTTACAGCTATAACAGCTTCCACTCTTCTGGGAAGGTTTTCTACAGGATTTTGGAGAGTGTCTGTGGGGAATTTTTGCCCATTCATCCAGAAGAGCACTTGTGAGGTCAGACACTGATGTTTGGCGAGAGGGTCTGGCTCACAATCTCCATTCTAGTTCATCCCAAATGTGTTCAGTGAGATTGACATCAGGGCTCTGTGCAGGCCAGGCAAGTTCTTCCACACCAAACTCACCCAGCCATGACTTTATGGACCTTGCTTTGTGCACTGTGGCTCAGTCATGCTGGAACAGGAAAGGGCCTTCCTCAAACTGTTCCCACAAAGTTGGAAACATAAAATTGTCCAAAATGTCTTGGTATAATGAAGCATTAAGATTTCCCTTCAGTGGAACTAAGGGACCTAGACCAACCCCTGAAAAACAACCCCATTGTATTATCCCTCCTCCACCAAACTGTACAGTTGGCACAAAGCAGTCTGGCAGGTAGAGTTCTCCTGGCATTTACCAAACCCAGACTTTATCAGACTGCCAGATAGAGAAGCCTGATTCGTTACTTCACAGAATACACTTCCACTGCTCCAGAGTCCAGTGGCGGCGTGCTTTACACCACTCCATCCAAAACTTGGCATTGTGCTTGGTGATATAAGGGTTGCATGCAGCTGCTCGGCCATGGAAACTCATGCCATGAAGCTCCCGGCGCACAGTTTTTGCATTGATGTTAAAGCCAGAGGAGATTTGGAGCTCTGCAGTTATTGAGTCAGCAGAGAGTGGGCAACTTTTATGTAATATGTACCTCAGTGCTTGGTGACTCCGCTCTGTAACTTTACATGGTCTGACACTTTGTAGCTGAGTTGCTGTGGTTCCTAAACGCTTTCACTTTTCAATAATATCACTTACAGTTGATCATGGAATATCTAGAGGGGAAGAAATTTCCCAAATTGACTTGTTACAACAGTGGCATCCTATTACAGTACCAAGCTCGAATTCATTGACCTCTTTAGAATGACCCATTCTTTCCCAAATATTTGTACAGGCAGACTGCATATCTGTGTGCTTGATTTTATACACCTGTGGCTAGGGGACTTAATAAAACAGCTGAATTCAGTAATTAAGATGTGTGTCCCAATACTTTTGTCCATATAGTGTAGAACAAATAAGAACAAATAAATATGACTGAAACATTAGACAAACATCCAAAAAAAGATAGCTCCTTAGTAAATACATAGTAACCAATATCCATTATGAAAAACTTGACATGGACAAGAACCAGAGGAGATTTTATGTCTTTGGTTTTTCATGAATTCTTGTTGATTTTAAATTATTTATTTATTTATTTATTTTTGCTTTATTTAAATTTTGACCTGGCATTAGTCTGTTACCTCACAGATTGCTTATATTCTCCAAAAGCATGGATTGGGCAGAGTCTGTGGTATAGGGCTACAGTTACAGACCTTTAATCTAGTTTCTGGTCCTCGGTTTTGTAAGAATTAGTAGTTAAATGAGCTGTTGATGAAGCAGATTGGCCACAGAATGTCATACCTACCAGCAATGGCAACACCTAAGGCTGGACTTTTGAGCTCATGATTTATAAATCTCTGGTTTATGGCTATCATGTGCACTAGTACGGAAATAAATTAAGGAGAATTGTGTGCCAGTAATCAAGATGCTGCTGTTTGCCTACACCAGGGGTTATCATAGATTTGACCTGGGGCCAAATTCTCAAAGAGCAGATATGCTTTGGGCTAGACCCCTGCCAAACCCAACACCATCCCTATCACAGAAACTTTAACTGTGTCTCTTACAAACATCAAGTGTCCATGTTAAAGCTAGAGCTGTCATAAGTAGTTCTGAACCCAGTGGGGAACAGTGAATATACACTACCGTTAGCACCAATATTAACATAAGATTGCAAATCTAGCAGAAATGAGCTTTATTGTTGCGATGGCCACAATGAGGAAAATTGATACTGAGAATTAATTTTAAAGAATTAGATTGAAAATATGTCTTTGTTATGCTCTTATTGTGAAATACTTGTCTGCTCTTTAGCAGTCACTGTTATAAAAGAAAACAGTGGCTATGGAACAAAGCTCTTGTTATTACATTATATTATATTTTATTGTTTATCAGAAAATGTGCTAATAAATTTTAATAGGTGCTGGTGTTAGAACACCAAACCCCTTTTTTATGGATTCCACATAATTTTAATGTAACTTTAAAAAATTGTTTTTGGGGGATGAGTTGGGACCAGAGAAAACTTTGCTCATAGGCCGGATTCAGCCCATGGGCCACTAGGTGCTGATCTGAATTACTAACTCAAAATGAACATGCATCACATGATGTTGTCAACAAAGCAGTCCTAGAAGGCTATAAATAAAAATGTTAGATTTGCTGACAGAGTCATTCATCAGCCAGAGGAAAATACACTAGAACATCCCTCAATAAGAAAGGTTGACTCTACCCAGTAAACACAAGGAATCCTCTGTTCTTAAAATGTTTTGAGTTGAAGCATGTACAGTTAAGGATTTAATTAGACTGAAGAGGTAAAACCTTACTTGTTTGACAAGATTATTCAGCAATATGTATTTTCATGTCAATATAGAAATACTTGTTGAAACACATTTCAAGCGGTATATTTTGTAGTTCAATAAAGAACTGCATTTTTTTCTCATGTTTTCAATATTTGATTTTAAAATCTAATTTGAGTCTTCAGAGTTGAATGTTGTGTTTCAGAAAGTGCATTTTATTCCAACCCCTATGTAGAGGTAAACTTTACTAAAATAATGTTTTCTTCTATGCACCAGGCCACAACAACTCTTTCCCTCCATCGATCATCATGCCTGAAGGAAACATCACTTATGTGAAGAATTTTTTCATTGTAGGCTTTCCTGGGCTTCACTCTAAGTACTATGGCCTTGTATCTGCAGTTATGCTGGTAGTCTATGTGTGTATCCTGCTGGGAAATGGAATATTTCTTACATTGTTTGTAAGAGATAGAAGGCTTCGAAAACCTATGTATTTATATCATCATAAATCTTGTTGCATGTGATGTCCTGTTTAGCACCACCACATTACCTAAGATTATTGCTAGATATTGGTTCAATGATGGAGTCATCTCATTCCTAGGTTGTTTTATTCAGATGTATTTTGTGCACTATTTTGTTTTCACTAATGCTTTTATACTGGCAGTAATGGCCTTTGATAGATATGTGGCAATATGCAATCCTCTCAGATATGCTAATATTGTCAAAAACTCCACTATCATGATCTTGTGCTTTGCATCGTGGCTGATGCCACAGTCCTGTGTCTTAATGCTGGCAATCAGAGCATATCCTCTTCCTTACTGTGCTGCCAACACAATTATTCAATGGTACTGTGACCACGCAGCCATCACAAAGCTTGCATGCACTGATCGGACACCTTATGGGTTTCCAGCATTTTTGTTTGCTATGGTTTTTTTGCTCGCGCCTCTGGCCTTTATTTTTTTTCCTATTCCTCTATCATGATGGCAGTCTTTCGAATCTCGACCACTCAAGGACGACTGAAGACTCTCTCCACCTGCAGTCCTCAGCTCATCATAATCACCCTCTTCTTTTTACCCAGGTGTTTTAATCACATGGCCCCTTATGTTGGTATCAGCTTCAGTGCTGACACACAAATACTCATTATTATGTTGTACAGCCTGCTGCCAGCCATGATCAATCCACTCATCTACTGCTTAAGAACTAAAGAAGTGAAAGAAATCTTACTAAGAGTTTAGCCAGTTTGACATTTTTTCAGGTTTTGAAAAAAAGAGTGGACATGTCTGCTATATGCAAATGATTTCTATGAATATTTCAAGGACATTTCACTAAAGGTAGACCTATGCTTTTCTTTTTTAGAGGGGCAGCGTGGACAGACTGGTGCATGGGACTTATTTAAATCCTGTGGTAAACAGCATACGGTGTCCTACAGTGTTCAATGTTTTTTAAAGTACTTTTTGAATTATTTGAAGGATGTCTTGGTGTAGTTTGAGCAAAGGTTACATTTATTTGCATTGGCCATGAGCGATTTATTTTTACATCACTCAATAAAGGCCATCATCTATGATCTTTAAGTCATATTTTCTGATCTTTGCTGGAAGCGAAATGCTCCTATTTGTTCCCATATATTGGTTTTCGACCTGATAACAGTAACAGGCAAGTCCTCATTATAATGTCGTATAGCCTGCTGCCTCCCTTAAACTGCTCACTCATCATCTGCTTTAAAAAAAAGAAGTGAAAGAAATCTTAATCAATAGTTTAGCCAGATCAGCATTTCTTTAGTTTGTAAATTGAAAAGTGTATATTTCTGCTATAGTTGTAAGCTTTCTGTGAACATTAAGGCGGGCAAAGGACATACTTTTCACCTATGAAAAAAATGATGTTTACACCAACTGAAAGCCAGTCAAATCAAAGCTCGTTGTTATCAAGTACAGAAAGTGCAATGCAATTCTTAATTCAACAAAAATAACACAGTGACAATACAATAAGTAATGACTACTAAACAGAATTAAACACAAAACTGAACAACATTACATACAGTTAATACCAGTGATGAACCATGACTATTAGAGTAAGGCCTTCATTTTGGGCCAGAACCCTGTCA